ACCAAACATTCCTTTACAGTACACCAAACAAAATGGCGTTCCTAAACATTCCCTTCCAGTATACTAAACCAAGAGGTGTTACCAAACATTCCTTTACAGTACACCAAACAAAATGGCATTCCTAAACATTCTCTTCTAGCATATTAAACAAAGTGACATTCCTGAACATTCCCTTTTTGTACACTAACCAAGGCGTCGATCCTAAACATTCCCTTTCTATAAATTAAGTAAATATAAAGATCCCATATATAATTTTCTATGTCGTTTCATTTTCCCTATAGTCTTCTTTGTTATCCAAAATAAAACATGTATTAAAAATGTTTTTTCTTTCTTCAACCTATGTAAAATAGGATGTCTGTTATATTATTACAAGCTACATTTTTATTTGCAATTTATATGTTAGCTAGAGAGTGCATGACGCTCAAATCGAAAAGTTTAATAACGTAGGATTTTTATGATCGTTTGAATATATATATTATTTTGAAGACAAGTGAAGTGTGTGCTGTTCATTTATCGTTGAATTTATCGCCAACAAGAAGAATCCTAAGCCCAACAACAACGTAATATATATTTATATTATTAAGAAATATAAATAAAAGCCTTTTTATTTTGACACTTGGTAAAGATCAGTTTTTTAAATTCTGACAATGTTAAGAGATATCAACACCTGGATGTTAAGAGATGACAACATAAGTATCAACACCTGGATGTTAAGAGATGTCAGCATAAGTATCAACACTTGGATGTTAAGAGATGTCAACACAAGTATCAACACTTGGATGTTAAGAGATGTCAACACAAGTATCAACACCTGGATGTTAAGAGATGTCAACACAAGTATCAACACCTGGATGTTAAGAGATGTCAACACAAGTATCAACACCTGGATGTTAAGAGATGTCAACATAAGTATCAACACCTGGATGTTAAGAGATGTCAACATTAGTATCAACACTGGTTACATTTTTTTTACTAACATGAGCACATTTTCATCCAGTACTTCACAATAACTAACCCTTAAGTTATTTTTCCCACACATCACAGATGTATACGAAAGTAATCAAGAGAGACACACATATGTGTACTTTTTTTAAAACTATTTACTTCACAAGAAACTGATTACACTTGTAGGTAATGTATTTAAAAAAAATTTCCACAAAATGTTAGAGAGACAGTCAAAATCAAAACTTTGTCACTCATACTGCACATATAAATAAACAGAATTTAATGTTTTTTTAACTGTTAGCCCACATAATTAAATGGTCTTTAAAACTTCCATGATTAGTGATATTCATTCTAGCTACATAGAAACACAATCCAGAATTTTTATACAATAAACTGAACAGATTTATACAAAATAATTGATATACGAGGAGAACTTCTCCTCACTTCTGATCATTAATGCTAAACCTTCCCGTACGTCACATGGATTGTTACAGAATGCTCCTAGGGAACAACAAGAATTTCTAGCAATATGTAAGCTACAAGATAATTCACACATATTTAATATTCACAAACTCAAATAATTTCAGGGATATATATGCACACACAATTTAGATTCAAAAACTTTATGAAAATTTGTGTTCTTAATGGAATAGTAAATTCTGACCTGATTCTTTATGACATGCTGTAATGGAAGTCCAGTACAGAATCGTTTAGTACATCTGAAAAATGCAAGAGGTTAAAATTTATACCAATTAAAGCTTGATTGTTCTTCTCTTTAAAGTAAAGACAATAGTTGTGGCATTATTTTCTTTCTCATGATTTATCAAAAACAGCTCTTCACAGTATCAGATGGTGTTCTAAAAATCTATTTTCATCAATTTGAGAATAAAAGAATTCAAATGTTTGGACCTTCAGCTATAGAAATATAGGATGATACTGTCTTAGTGTTAATTTTTTCCGACACTTTGGACAAGAATGGTTGCTTCGAATGGCTTCGTAAATACAGCTATTACAAAATACATGTCCACAGATAGTTGATACAAGTTGACGATATGATGACTGGATCTGGGGAAAAAAATAAAAATTTCCAATGAATATGTAAACTGTACTTTTTTGTAAATAATAAAATTGAATTTCATGCTCCTCTAAACATTAACCACTAATCCTTTCATTAACCCTTATTTTACATAAAATCAGAAATTTGATATATGGGTGTGCATTAACATATGAACAATGTTCTCTAGCTTGTTAACCTAATAAAAAGAAATTAATATTGGGATTTAATCATTTAAATCATTGTTTAGATATTCGCTCATAGATTTTAGTCTCAACGCTTATTTTTTATGTGAGATACTGAAGGTGCTTAGTTTATAAATTGTTGAAGTTATTTAGGCTTAAGCATATTTCCAAGTCTAGATCCAGGCTACAAGTAGAAACATAGTTCATTATACCTATTTATGTAGCTTTCATAATCATAATTCTTTATTTTAATGTCTTATATTATTTCAGTGGCATCTACACATGCACCAATCATACTTTTATATTATTTGTTGAAATGAAAGTAAGGCTGTACTGCTGTTCATAATTTCTTCTATTTCCAAGTCACTTTTTTTTTTTACTAACCTCATAAAAGAAGATTCTCCATGAAAATCGATTCTCAACTTATTAACTTACCATAAAAATAAAATTGATAATTTTGTAATCTTGTTTATTACTCTAGATAACAGCAATTCTTACATTACTACAATAGGGTAGTCACAGTTTTGAAATTCAGTGTGATATTAACAAACTCATAAGATATAGTCATTCCCTCTAATGTCACAAAAAAAAAAGTTACAAAAGTTGTTAAGTTTAAAGTGACGAGAAACGTACTGACTGTGGAATTACTGTGTACTAAAAGTTTGTATCGAGAAAGAATAAACTGGTCTAATCAAGAAAGAACTTTTATCGCTGAAGTTGCTCGGAAAGAATTTCTACCGGAAATTAACAAAGTAGAAACGTAACAATAAGCTAAATGTGATTATATACTATTGGGCATTTTATATATGCTTCATGTGATTATTTCCTATAGGGCATTTTATAGAAGCTAAATGTGATTGTATACTATAGGGCATTTTATACAAGCTTAATGTTACTATTTACTATAGGGCATTTTATACAAGTTAAATGTGATTATATACTATAGGGCATTTTATATAAGATAAAGGTGATTATATACTATAGGGCATTTTATATAAGTTAAATGTGATTATATGCTATAGGGCATTTTATATAATTTAAATATGATTATTTACTATTGGCCATTTTATATAAGCTAAATGTGATTGTATACTATAGGGCATTTTATATAAGCTAAATGTGATTGTATACTATAGGGCATTTTATATAAGCTAAATGTGATTGTATACTATAGGGCATTTTATATAAGCTAAATGTGATTGTATACTATAGGGCATTTTATACAAGCTAAATGTGATTATTTACTATAGGGCATTTTATACATGTTAAATCTGATTATTTACTGTTGGGTATTTCATACAAGTTAAATGTGATTATTTAATATTGGGTATTTTATATAAGCTAAATGTGATTATTTAGTATAGGGCATTTTAAATAAGTTAAATGTAATTATTTACTATAGGGCATTTTATACATGTTAAATGTGATTATTTACTGTTGGGTATTTTATACGAGTTAAACATTATTTACTATTGGGCATTTCATCTAGTTTATGCAAATGTTTCAAGTTTAAATGCTTGACTAAAACAAAATAATAGAATATTATACTCCAGCACCCTTTGAAGTTGAGCATGCACATTAGATGAGAAAATTTTATCATAGAAAATACAAGTATTGAACCAGAACCATTATAGCCTACACATATCACTCCTTTTATCATTAATACCTACAGCTGTATCTGAATCAAAACATACTGGACATGTTATTTTCCTCCTAGGAGGGGATTCATCTTCTTCAGCTCCCCCGGAACTAGAAAATTTATGAAAAAATTTTCAAATAAACTTTATAAGATCATTTGATAGTTAAATTCACAAAGCTACAAAGTTCGTAATAACGACCTTATACACATACAAACTTATATTACTAATATAGACCCTACACACACACAACTTTATATTACTAATAAAGACCTTTACACACACAAACACAACCTTATATTACTAATAAAGACCTTTACACACACAAACACAACCTTATATTACTAATAAAGACCTTACACATCTTTATTAGTAATATAAGGTTGTGTTTGTGCCCTACACACACAAACACAGCCTTATATTACCAATAAAGACCTTACACACACAAACACAACCTTATATTAATAATAAAGACCCTACACACACAAACACAACCTTATATTGCTAATAAAGACCCTACACACACAAACACAACCTTATATTAATAATAAAGACCCTACACACACAACCTTATATTACTTGTTTTGAAATCAACTTTAACTATGTTCACACAGTTTTGGATTTTTTATGAAACATTACCTGTGGTTCAGATCAAACATTCACCATTTACAAAACTTTTTTTTTTATTTTCTGTTTGCTGACTAATGAAAAAAAAAAGAAACGAAGTGAGCACAATGACAAATCAATTTAACACAACTATATCATAAATGGTGTATGCAACCACATAGATAAATAATAAAAGCCTTAGTGTGCATGAATCTTCTATTGTGTACTGAACAATACGATGCCTAAAATGGCAGCGAACAAAACAGAGGTATGAACAATCAGATACAACACTGTAGTTTTTCCAATCTCACCTTCATTTGCATTATATTTTAGATGTATCACTATTAAAATAATCATGAATTTACAGAATCTTGTACTTCAACTATTCCACCAATGATTTTTTACATGTCATCAAAGAAACAAAAACAGTTGTATATTGTCCTTTTATTTAGACATATTATTGGCTATTATTGAATATATGAAAACCAATTTTAGGTTATTTAAAAACTCACCAAGTCTTCAACAACTACATTCTGCCCAAACCTCATGACTACAGAATTCTCCCACACATTGTACACAATCCTTACTTTATGGAAAATAAGCAAACATCTTTATCCAGATTATTAATTATATTGTACTTTTTTTTTTAATTTTAAACATTTTCTTTTCAGATCCACACTTCACCATATGGTACATTACTTTTTGTACTTAATGATTTGGTTGCTACTAGTGTTCTCTCAACAGCCAAATATGAGCCCTGATTCTCATTAAATCAGAATAACAAAAATTTAAACATAATGACAATTTTATTTAGGAATTATGTTTATATCAATACAAAGAACACTTTCCTACAGCTAAAGTGCTGTCACAAAAATCTATGAAATAATAACAAAACTTTTAGTTTGACACATACATATCATTTGTAACTCCAAGATCATAGCTGGGATGCTGAATATCATTATTATAATCTGGAAGTGGATCTGAATAATTAGGCCTTCTAGTGAGCTGTCTTGTGTTAACTGGTGATCGTGATCGATGTCTTCGCAAAGCTCGTAAGTTTCTTTCTCGCACTTGAGTTTCGTTCTGAAGATACGTGGGCACTGAACCCAAACACTTTAAAAAACAGAAATAATATTATCATATTAGTCCTAACAACAGATAATAACAAGACCTTCTGTCACTACTTCCAAACATGTGCATAAGTCTACAATGGATAATAAAAACTATATTCTATAGAATAATGGATTAATCTTGCAGAGACAATGCTCTATAGATAACTAATTTGATAAAATATAGCAATAAAATACATCATATAAAAATTGTAACTGGTGGAAATAAGACATTCTGTGTGAGACATGACTTTACAAGTTCTCACTGCCATAAACCAACAGTATACAGGTCACGAAAAACTTAACTGGGTATAAAACAATTTAACAGACTTTTTTAAACTACAGTATTAGATTACTAGTACTATATTAGTTTACTAAATGTCACATGGTCTATCAAAGAATAAACATAATTGCTGCACAGTAGAAATAAATGTTTGTCAGCTCTTACTTCTCAGTAGTAATCAAGATAAACGATTACGAACACATTAACTAGCTTTCATTCAAGCTGTTCTTAAAGTTACAAATGCGACATATCTTTAGGCAAGGTAATGATACTTTAACTGTGTTATATAATCCTGAACGTCATTTAAAAAAACTACTGACTTCAAAAGGATATCAGTTTTTCAGTACTTTAGTATCAATATCATGAAGCTAAGCTCACTTTGAAAGTCAGACAAAAAATATTTAAAACTTGTATTAAAAATTATACATAAAATCATCATGGTAGCCTCTCTTTCTTGCTAACAATTAATCAATATGGTTTCAACAATTTGGAATCTTTTTCTCTTATTTCAATACACCTGGCTAGGGATTTTCTTCAATTTTTATACGTTTCCAACCAAAAATCAGAAAATCTTATCACATAAATTATAGAGGCCACAGTCTCTTTACTGGACTACTTTCAATTCAAAGTTCTTAAAAATAAAATACAGTTTTACTGCAAAAATATTTTGATATTCATTTAGGAGGTTCTGAAGGTTATGAAAATGAAATCTGAAACTAAACAATGAAAAAATTATTTTTAATCTTACCATGAAAATCACTTTGCAATCAGTCTATTCAGAATCTCAGACTCTAACTCTAAAAAATTATATAAAAATCTTAAGAAGAAATACTACTTAAAAAATCAATTTTCTTTAGCCTTAAAAAGAAATACTACTTAAAAAAATCTATTTTCTGTGTACAAAAGACTTGTAATATTTGGCAAAAGCCTGCCAATTTTCTTGAAGATACACTTACTACACAAATGTTATAGTACATGAAGATACACTTACTACACAAATGTTATAGTACATGAAGATACACTTACTACACAAATGTTATAATACTTACATGAAGATACACTTACTACACAAATGTTATAGTACTTACATGAAGGTACACTTACTACACAAATGTTATAGTACTTACATGAAGGTACACTTACAATACAAATGTTATAGTACTTACATGAAGGTACACTTACAATACAAATGTTATGGTACTTACATGAAGATACACTTACTACACAAATGTTATAGTACTTACATGAAGGTACACTTACAATACAAATGTTATAGTACTTACATGAAGGTACACTTACAATACAAATGTTATAGTACTTACATGAAGATACACTTACTACACAAATGTTATAGTACTTACATGAATGTACACTTACAATACAAATGTTATAGTACTTACATGAAGATACACTTACTACACAAATGTTATAGTGCTTACATGAAGATACACTTACAATACAAATGTTATAGTACTTACATGAAGATACACTTACTACACAAAGTTATAGTACTTACATGAAGATACACTTACTACACAAAGTTATAGTACTTACATGAAGATACACTTACTACACAAAGTTATAGTACTTACATGAAGGTACACTTACAATACAAATGTTATAGTACTTACATGAAGATATACTTACAACACAAAAAGTTATAGTACTTACATGAAGATACACTTACTACACAAATGTTATAGTACTTACATGAAGGTACACTTACTACACAAATGTTATAGTACTTACATGAAGATATACTTACTACACAAAAAGTTATAGTACTTACATGAAGGTAAACTTACAATACAAATGTTATAGTACTTACATGACGATACACTTACTACACAAAGTTACAGTACTTACATGAAGATACACTTACTACACAAAGTTATAGTACTTACATGAAGATACACTTACTACACAAAGTTGTAGTACCTACATGAAGGTACATTTACAATACAAATGTTATAGTACTTACATGATGATATACTTACTACACAAAAAGTTACAGTACTTACATGAAGATACACTTACTACACAATGTTATAGTACTTACATGAAGATACACTTACTACACAAAGTTATAGTACTTACATGAAGGTACACTTACTACACAAATGTTATAGTACTTACATGAAGATATACTTACTACACAAAAAGTTATAGTACTTACATGAAGGTACACTTACAATACAAATGTTATAGTACTTGCATGAAGATACACTTACTACAGAAATGTTATAGTACTTATATTTTTTTTGTGGTTACATGATCGGTCAAAATGACCAAATTCACAGGGAAAGGGTTAACAACATTTACATAAGCCCCTGAATACAAACATGCTTAACCCTTTCAAGACAGGTCACAGGTGAAAGGCCATGTCATCTCGTTTGTTGACTTGTATTCAAAATTTTATTGAACTACTATCTCAGGAATTTATGTCGGTAAGTTTGGTATCAAATTGTAGATTATAATTGAAATTTTAGTATTATATCTTACTTAGTTTCTTAATTTAAAAGTAAATATTAACAAACACAGTTAAACATTGGTTTTTTTGTGTGTCATGAGGTATGTTGAATGCAATTTTGGTTCATATTAGATGTTTGTGAAGTCAAAATACTAAGTCTATAGTTTCGTATGAATTAGAAACTCAAATTACCAATATTGATAAGCTAGAATATAAAATATGAATGTCTTATCTTTTCTATTTGCTATTTTTGGAAATGCTACCTTATATACATTTACTTCTATATATATGACATATATAACCAATCAGAAGCTCAAAATGTCCCCCTAATGGCTTTCTCAGTCATTTTAATGGGCTTGGATGCCATTTCTTTCTTTTGAACCAACAGTTCAAGGAGGTAGGGTGTGTCTTTAGTCTACTCTAAATTTTATAATTTTTAACAAAAATACATCTTAGTTACTAAGCTTAATAAATCATAGTGGAATTCTATGGTATTGATGTAGTAATTTATGATTTTTTAGTTATTTAAATGTATATATAAACCCCCAAAAAATTATTTCATTTCATATCCTCCATGTGCAAAATATCTAAAAGCTTAACAAATTATGTCAGGCAGCAACCAAGTACAAAGGTCGTAACTAGAAGAGATAATTGTTTGCTTTACTTCTTTAGTTACTGTTGTGTGTTTTAAGAAAAATAAGTTTAAGAACTTATTTCAAAATAACAATAATCTATATTCATATGTAATGTATAATAATTAAAATTTGACTGTATTTTACAAAA